TTAAGTACCTAAATCTGATTCATGCTTTATATCACCTAGATCTAAAAGACAAATACATTGGGGAATTCTGGGTACTTTTATAAAATCTTTTACTTTTATGATAAGTGCAGAAATAGCGGAGTTCGATTTTTAGCGCACTACCCCAGTCAGGTGTAACATTGTGCACAAATTGGATTACAAGATTCTAAGAAAACTATGAAGCCAGATGAAGGACTAGATAGGATAAAACTTTGTTTAAGAAGAACTCAACCTGAAACAAGAACTCTAAAGCGAAGAAATTTTAAAGTCAGGTCCTGACTTAAACAGACCTTTTTTAAGCAAATAATAATGTAAAATGATATGCATGAGAGTAACAGCCTTATCAAAAGCTTTCTCAAAAATGCAGTCATTCAAATAGATAATACCTAAAACCAAGAACAGTAGTAAAAATTATTATTTCATACTTCCAAATTTTCAAATCAACTTTGTGTGTATGGAATGACTGGCTAGAGGAAGTGGTGGTGGCTAGTACAATTACAACATTTAAAAGTCATCTGGATGGATATATGAATAGAAAAGGTTTAAGAGGGATATGGGCCAAATGCTGGCAAATGGGATTAGATTAATTTAGGGTATCTGGTCGGCAGAGACGAATTGGACCATAGGGTCTGTTTTCATGCTGTACACTCCTATGACTCTCTGACAATAAGCAACCAGTCCACTTTCACTCAAATCAAGTCATCTTGTTGTCATGTATTTCTTCTTGGATGACCTCCCACCTTCTGATCTTCTAACCGATTAATATTAATAACGCAATAATTTTGTACTACTTATTATACACAAAGCAGCTCAAGCTGCTTCATAATGCCCTACAGTCAGTCGAGTTTTTGATTTGCTTCAAGATTTTGCACTTCAAACTCTTTGGAAAGATAAAAGGAAACACTTCTAAATATTATGTTTTTCAACTATACTGAATAGCCAAATGCTAAAATTTTAAATGATAATATTTTGAAAAGAGATAACGTGGATTGGGCCTTTCACATCTGAGGCTCATGGTTAAGTTTAACAAAGTGAACAGATCAAATGTCATTCTGTCTGCTGTTGTAAATGCTATATTTGGAAAAGGTTAGGGCAGTCTGAACAAGTACAAGCTAGCATGACCTGGCAAAATAAGCGTGCTTATTTAGAATTAGTTAGAAACAATCCTTGGAGAGGCCACAGAATGACATGAATGGAAAAGTGTTACACTGGTGACAACAAAGGTGATTCAAACATTATGTGGATTAGGTGGATGTGCTGTATATGTTCATTGGTGGAAAACTAGCTACATGTACTGTTAAACTAAAACCTTAAAACAAAAACAAGTCCAAAATCAGACACTTAGTTAATTAATGTAATTTTTAAAATTCCCGGTTTTCTGAATTTTGATCAATTGTTTTAAAAATAAAGGTTTGGAACTGTGAAGGGTTTTAAGGTACGATTGGATAAAGTAACAAAGGCAATAAAACAGATGTTGCAGTCTAGATTTAAAATTAAGTTTTAAAAAAGTAATAAAATAGAAATTAAATGTTTATTTTTTAAATAGCTGTCGTCATTGTTTGACGAGAGTATGAGCTATAGAACATGTTTCACAAAAATTGGAGGTTTATGCACTGAGTCATACATATGGTAAAATCCTAATTTTTTTTCCATGGGATATGTGAATGAGGGTTTGCTATCCTTCAGACCCTTGATGCTCCTGTGTCCATCAAACAGATTGTGTTTGATCTGTACAACAACTCAAGCTACCTGCTGTAGTTCCACATCACATGAGCTTACTCAACAAAATTTAATATTCTGTAATCAGCCTGAGATTTTATACATTGTGTCTTTGATGCATTGCTTCATTTCATTCATCAAATGAAGTAGTCAATTAGCTTTATAAGATAATCTGTTGGAAAATATGTTTTAAAGCAACAGTGAGCTCACCAACAGATGCAACAGTGGCTGTTGCTGTTGTAAGCAATGACTTTCCCCAATTTCCCCAGTAGCCCCAACTTCCTGCTTCTTGATTTGGGAGATCTTGCGGCTGCAAAAGAAATTGAGTAATATTACCACAGCTATTAGATAGTTAGCCATATTTTTCAATCTTAGGCATAAATACATAATTAAGTTTTGGAACTCAAGTAGGCGAAATTATCAAGCACAGAATGAATTCAGATTGAGGTTAAAATAATATTTTATGGGTCAAACCTCTAATATTGCTTACTTTGTCTGCAACTCCCAAAGGTTGTTGTTCAGATAACCCTGGCTGACTAGATCCTTTTGATTCAGGTCTCTTTCTTGTCCTGTTGGCAGACTCCTTCCCTTTACTTGTACTGTTTTCATGTATGCTTCCAGCAGACCCACAGTCCTCATTTTGTGCATTGCCTGTTGTGCACTTGCCAGTTTCAATCTCAGAGTGCTGTTCTGAATCAACATCTTGTTTATGCTCTTTTTCCCTACATGCTGAAACACTTCCTTCCTGAGCCACAGATTCTTTATTCATAGATTCTTCACTTGTTCCAGTTTCCTCCATTTTTGATTTACCTGTGAAGAAATAAATAAATCACTTCATAACAGCATAAGAAACAGGGTCAGGAATAGGTTACCTGTCCCATCAAGCTGGCTTCATTATTTAATCAGATCATAGCTGAATTCCTATCTCGATTCCACTTTTCCATCTACAAGATGCACTTTGGATCTTTGGACAGCACCTTCCAAACCCAAGACCATCTTGCAGGACAAGGGCAGCAGGTACATGGGAATACCACCATTGGCAAGCTCCTCGCCAAGACACTCACCATCTCGACTTGTAAATATATTACCGTTGCTTCAGTGTTGCTGAGTCAGAGTCCTGGAATTCCCTCCCTACAGCACTGGAGGTCTACCTACAGCCCACGGAATTCACTGGTTCAAGAGGGCAACTCACTACTATCTTCTCAAGTGCAACTAGGGACAGACAAGGAATGCCTAGCCAATAACGCTCACATCCCATGAATTCAAAAATAAAGCTTTTGATTCCCTTAAAGCCCAAAATTTATCTCTCAAGTTTGAATATAATCATTGAATATGAGCATCCATTAATATTGAAAATTCCAAACATTCACAGCACTTCAGAGGAAAGAAATTTCTCCTCTTCATTCATAAATTGTAAATCCTTTATCCTGTGGTAATGACTAGTTCCAGACTCTTCAGCTAAGAGAAATAACTGCTCAGCAATCATTCCTGGAAAGACTACTTAGATTTTCACATGTGTCAATGAAATCACCCTTCATTCTTCTAGATTTCAGAGACTACACCCATTCTACTCATTCTAATCTCATGTGACAGCCTTTTCAGCCTGGAATCAATCCAGTAAAATATTGTGGCACACTCTTAAGCACTCATACCTTGCCTCAGGTGAGGCAGCCAAAACTGTACATGGTAGTTCATGCATTATTTCTATAAAGCCCATGTAATTACTGCAAAGCTTCCTTATGCAAATACTCTAGCTCCCTTGTATTTCTGATGAAGAGCCACTGGATCAAAACATTATAACTTTGCTTTCTTCCCACAGATGCTGCCAGATCTGCTGAGTTTCACTAGCAATTTCTATTTTTGTCTTCTTAATTGCTCTCAGTAGGTTAACTTTCTGTGATGTATTTAGAAGAACATCCAAATCCCTCTGACGGTTAACATTTACCAATCTCCCACCTTTAAAAAAACATTTGCTTCTCCATTATTCCTACCAAACTGTATAATTTCATGTTTTCCCTCATTACTTTATTTATGACCTATTTGCACAAATACTTAATGGATCTACATCCACTAGCAGTTTCTTTGCAATCTCCTTGCAGCTTTCTTTCACACCTACCTTAGTAAAGTCTGAAAATCTGAATATATTTATTAAACATGGTACCTTAGTGACATAAATTGCAAATAGCAGCAAATACAGCTCTGATATTTCTGGCAGCCAAATACAAAAAACAAACTATTTAATCCACACTGTTTTCTGTTGTCACAGGTATGGTTCATAACCCCAGAATACCAATAAGCATATTGAACTTTAACTCAAACAAGTGCTTTTTTTAATAAAAGGATATAGAACCCAAAAGTTGATTGCATATGTAAATTCAGTGGCTGTCTAAAAAGGCTGATTCTGAAATATCATATCTGATGCATTGTCAAGGAAGCCAAGAATGCACTATAAATTAAACTGTGATCTCCCAGAGGTCATCTCAAACCGGGAACATGATGGAAGATAAGACAGCATTTAGGCGAGAGGTATGCATTATGCCTTCCTCTTTCAAGAATACACAAGGATAGGTTTGTGTGCGCTACTGGAAGAAGATGTGCCCATGAACTGAAGTCCTCATGTTCGTTAGTGGGCTAGGGTAGAAATGTACTAGTCTAGGTTTGAACACTAGTGTGCTGTGAAGGACACAATTGGAGAAGTACACCCAGGCATCCTAATGTTATAGGTAAAGGAAGCTCTCACTCAGAGTTCTAGAAGCTAGCTGACTAAAGGAAACAAGACAAGAGAAGAACCCTATCGTTCTGAGTGCTGCTAGCCCAACCAGCATCAAAAGAAAACAGGAGAAAAGAATTTCAACAAAAAAGTCAAGTATCCTGAAACTGACTGTTCAACTATAAATATTCCACTATATACTCTTCACTAAAGACTCAGAGACTGATCTCTTTAGCTTATAACATTGATATTTTTTGGATAAACTTCTCATTTGTGGTATGTGTGTTGCATTATTATTTTTTCTTGTGTTTAGTAACTAATCTCACTGTTTTGTTAACTATAAAAAGCCTGGTTAAATTGACTTCTTTTAAAACATAAATTCATTAGGTCTGGAAGAATGTTATCTACAAGGAAGATGATCCTTTGTAAACTAACCTTGTTATGACCAACAAAGGGATTGTTGAATAAAAAACAGTAGCCAGTTCATAACTCCTCACCCAGTAGTTTGACAATTTGAGATATCCCATCTGGAATAATGCTAAAGTGGGGAACATCACCTAGGATTTTGTTGTAAGAACAGTCCATGAACTAATTCTCCATCTGTGCTTCAGAATTGTTGTAGTGCAGAAGGAGGCCATTTTGCCCATTGTGTGTGCAGTGGCTTTGTGCCTCAGCCATTCACCTGCCTTTCCCCTTATTGTACATGATTCTGATAGACACAATGAGCCAATGGTCTTCTGAATACCTCTGCCACACTTCCAGGCAGTGAATTCCAGACTCAAACCACTCCTTGTATACAAGTTTTTTCTTATTCCATTTCACTACATTTGTGAACCACTTTAAATCTTTACCCTTTCATTCTTAATCTTTTTACGAGTAGGTTCAGTTTCTCACCTCCTGTTCTATCCAGACCTCTCAAGATTTTGAAAACTATTAGATCTCCTTTTAGCCACTTTCTCTTCAAGGAGAACAGTCTAAACTTCTGTAATCTATACTCATAACTGAGGTTTTACTATCCCTGTTTTTATAACAAACATATAAAAGTTACTTGCATTTTTAAAACAACATTTCAGATGGTAGGTAGAGTTCTTCAATTTGTTTCATTTGAATTGATAGAATGTGTGGATAACTGACGCTTTGTGAAATGGGAATAATGTATGTTTGAGAGAGAAATCAAAATGAGACAGGGTTACAAAAACACTGAGAAAACCATTACACACTTTGAATCTATAACAAAAATTAACAAAAATCTGACTTGATAATATTAGTACTTAAAATATTCTCATAAAACTCAACAACTTGTATTGATGCAGTACATTTAACATAGTGTAACATTTCAAGGTGATTTACAGCAGGATTATAAAGCACAGCATTATATAGAGGCAAAGAAGGAGCCACGAGGGTCAGATGATCAACAACTTGATCAAAGAGGAAGATTTCAAGAAGGGTCTCAAAGAGAAAAAGCAGGTAAAGAGAGGGAGTACAGAGGGTATTTCAGAGTCGGGTCTCTACAGTTGAAGGCGAGGCCGCCACCAATAGTGAGTTTGTTAAACCTGGGGATGGGCAACAGGGCAAAGTTAAAGAAACATGGATATTTGAGTGTTTAGAGGGTTGAAGGAAATTAGAGAGATGGGACGAGAGGGACCAGGGGCTGAGTATTACATGCCCCTTCCAGATGTGTTTTCAGCAGCCGGAGGTGCAGGTACATGAAATAGTCTGGATGCTCATCCCACTACCTAGGCCAAGCTCATTCCCATGACACAAAATGGGCAGGTACCAAGGATCAATTGAGCTTGTTAGAAACTTTGTGCATTAAAGAATTGCCAGAATACCCCAAACCGAATATAGTTTTCCCTTCCAAATTGGACTTTAAAACCCACCCTCTCCCTAAGGAAAACACATACTCCCCACCCAATGCCCTTCACTCACCAAAGTCTGAAGATCATTTGGGCCTTCAACCTAGGCCTGCCTCCAGTCCCAACTGAGGAGCTCTGGAGCTAACAGGCCTACTGCTGTTGCCAGCCAACCACACAGGCCAATGGATCCAGGGGATCAAATTTGCTTCCACTGAGGAGTAGAAGTCTCATATTCTTTAACTGAGTTGACATGCAATGCATTAAGGCTGTGAGGCAGGCTTATTCTATGAGTTGGCTGGATGTTAACTTTCCTTCCATCTGCCCGATGTAGGGTTTTGAAAAAATGATGATTATAATATCAGCAACAACAGGGGTGATTGGGAAAATAGGACCTGGTATGAATTAAAATACCACTATTGTTTACAGAAGGTAGAATGTAGGATACCAGTCAAGAAGTATTTTGAAACATAGAAGGTGAGGTAACAACTGCTTTCAGTAACAAATAAACTTAGACAAAAGGTTGAAAAACTGTGGAATGGGAAAATGGATGACTGGAATAAGTGACTGAAGCAGTGACTAGGCCGCCAGATAGCTGAGGGAAAAATCAGATAAAGGATTTGAAAGGAGGGGGAAAATGCTTGAAAGTAGGAACTCTGTGTGCGAAGGATAAAGTTCAACACGATGAGAGTTAATGGTTCAAATGGATGTTTTTCATCATAAAAGTTCACTAACCTGAAATGTTAACTACTTTTTTTGACACAGATGTTGCCTAACATAAATAATTCCACTATTTTTTGTTTTTAAAGGGAAGTTTCCACATCCTTTTCTACTTCAATTGCTGTATAATTACATGATCTCTATTCCTCTGCATTTGTATTCTGCTTCGTTGAGCATCAAGTTTACTTCTATTAAAAGTATGCTTTTCCTTTCAAAGAATTTGTTACTTGTTCCCAAATAACCTAAATCCCAATAACACCTATATCAAATAGCAGCCTTGAAGTGTTTGTGGAATTCTCAGTGTATCATATTCTGGACTTTACACAGTCCACTTAAGCTTCAGTATTTACTTGTGTCTCCCAAGATGCATCCAAAATGGTTCTAGTGAGCTATCAGTCAAGATTCATTTGGTAGCACTTGAAGTAAGAAGGCTGAGAGTTTAAGTTCAAAACCAATCAGGAGTACATAACCTAGATAGACACACTAGTGTACCAAAGGAGTGCTACAGTATTTAAATTGTCATCTGAGATTAGAAATCTAACCAAGGTCATGTTGCTCTCTTAGACAGGCAGGATGAATCCTGTGGCGTAACACAAGGGGCGAGTTATCCCTAGGGTTCTAGCCACGCCTCCTTCTAAATTGTCTTTGTTTACTGAGCAGGTTACAAACTCCTATGCACTATATTTTATCCATGGGCAGTTTAGATTTTAACCATCATGGCTTACAGTAGGCTGAAAGTTCCTCGCGAGGACCTGACAAGTCAGCTTATTTTAATGCACAGTACATTTCAGATTATAACCTGGCCACACATATGCATCTTATGAGGGAACATTGGCCCTGGTCAAACATTACTAAAATATACCATCTGCTCATTATCATTTTTTTTAAATGGGACATTGTTGTTTATAAATTGGCTGTTGTGTTTCCTAAACTAGCACAGTGACAGCTTTGTTGTGCATAAATTGGCTGTAAAGTGCTTCAGAACATCCTGATTTTTTAATTGCAATACTTTGTTTTACAATTTCTGTAGCTTAACCCAGATAATTGTGGAAGCAATTAATTGCGCTCCCTTGGAAAAATCACTTAGAGATTAAGCAGAAACATGAGGCATTAGGGATGGACAAATGCTGGCCTAGCCAGTGATGCCCACATCTCACAAATGTATGTTAAGAAAAAAAGCAAAGGCTACACATAGGTTTATGAGGTTAAAATTAATCCGATTAAGAATAGTCCTTGCAAGAATTTTTCCTGTTTTTAGAAGAAGAAGTGATATCCCAAGATATCACAGATGGACTTGCACCCTTTGTGTTTATGGAGCTGAGATATGGAATCATCCTTTTAGTTTCAGGGCAAACCACTGATTCCAGATTAGTCTAAAGAAACTAATGAGAAGAGACTGTGTGTATCAAGAATTATAGTCTGGACTCTTTGCAGGCTAAGAAACAATAGAAGTGATCTTTGCAGCACATCAGATTCAGGAACAAACATAATAAAGACCTCTTTATTGGGTTCAATCACCCAACTAGGGCTTAATCATAAAATATGAAAGGTTGTGGAAGGTTTTGTACAAATATGGCTGCCATGCAAAAATATTCAGCATCATTTGTTCATTCCAGATCACGCACCAACCCATTTCTGGCCACGTATTCAAAAACCTCACGCACTTCAGTGCTACACCCACCATTAAATACTGAAGTTTTACTGTCTTGGAAGTATCCTATCCATTAGCACTGTCTGGATGTTAAAATCAATCTCATCATTTGGTAGACTCACTCAGATTCTTTGGAAAGAGAATGACTTTGTCTCAGAAGGAAGATCAAAGTCTACTTGGCAGTGGTTTTTACAACACTTATTTGTGGGTGTGCAACCTGGCCAACATGTCAGTATCACATAATGCAACTAGAAACATTGCAGCTTTGCTGTTGGAGATCTATTTGCAAAATCATGAGGTAGGAAAAACTTCTAAACACCAAGGTCTTGTGATGCACTGCATTCCTGCATCAACAGCATGGTCTTCAGAGCTCAGCTTCGCTGGTTCAGCCACTTGGTTCATGTGGTGGACTCCTAGACAGCAATGGCAGTATTCTGCAAGGAGCTGAGCGGGAGAACTCACATCATAGGACAGGATATCCTAAACTGATATACAAAGACAATCTAAATGCTAACCACAGAATTTGAAAGTTGTATCTAGTTAAATGGGGAGAGAAAACTTGGACTAAAGAGAAATCTGTCATCAAGCGATTTTGACATTTGAAGAGAACAGAGACAACTCTAGCTTCCTGATCAAAATAAACTTACTTAAACTAGTAACTAAGAAAAAGCGGATAATTTGCATCTTTAAATATGATATTGAACTCAGAATGAGAAAAAAAAGACACCAGTTTGCTCCCTGCTCCCCTGACAGCTCAGCCTGGGTCAGGCAGACATTCACCCATAGTTTGCAGGGCTCTATTCCCCGCAGCCCTACACCCGATGTCTCGCTGACCGAACCGAGGCACCAATGACTGACAGACACATTGACAACCCGAATCCCCCTCTCACCTGCCGCTTCCCGACCCCAACCTGTGTCGCCACGTCACTCACCCTTCACCCAGGAAGTGATAAGTGGTGTCAACACCGTCTGCATTTGCGATAAGGGTCAGGGCGGGGCTTAGTTGACCATCCTCATCGCGCATGCGCTACTTCTCCTGGTTTCCCGCCCCCCCGCCCCTCTGACCCTACCTGTCTAGGCACGCGCACAACTGTCAGCTTTTTCCGTGAGGAGGGGATTGTAAATTTAACACGGCACAGATGGTATTTTAAATCTGACATCACAGAAATAACAGTAGGCATATACTGCAGATAGGTTTTCATTCAAATGTAGGGCAATAGCTGCGTTTCGTCACTAAAAGAAAGTCCGTGAATAAGTCTCTAGTGGGGGAAATATAGACGTTTGAAGGCAGCGGCTTCCTAAAACGTTATCGGATGTGAAATATAACTGTCAGCTGCTGAAAGAACTGCAGAGTTTTTCCAGCACTTTCTGTTTTTGCTTCAAATCCGCAACATCTTGCTTTTTGTTTGAAAGTGGCCACTGTTCAGTGCGGACGCTCTGTAGTTACGATCCCACCCGCTCAAACAGTGCCATCTGTTGGCAGTTGGAGGGAGGGGGATGAGTGGACTCACAGCAGAGTTCAGAGCGCATGCGTGAGTTGTTGACTCCTGCGAAGAAGAAAAACAAAGGAAGCGAAGGTCAGTTGGCAGGAAGCTAAAACGATTCACAAATTCATTTTGCTTTTCGGTTGGCTGGATGTACTTTAATAATAATTAATCCCTGTTAAGTAAGATAGAGTAAACATATTTCATCGCTAGGGCTGTGGAATTCCTTTTCCCTGGTTTGGCTACCGTTATTAGTGCAGTATCTGGAATTGCCTACGGGAACTTCAGTTCACAAATCGTTGGTTTTATTTAATATCAAACTTTTAGTCCCCGTAATTTACGTTAAGTTAATTTGAGGATTTGTCCTTTATTGTTAAGTATATGTGATTGCATGAATGTTAGTGTGATTAACAAACGCTCCTTGCGATTGCAATGGTTATATGGCTGCAGAAATAACCAATTCAGCTTTTTAACAACATTTTGGCTAAGTAAGCCTTTCCTGATTGAAATTAAAATGGCGGTTTTGAGGTATGAGTATTCATTTCTTTGAATATGCAAAGTTCCAGTGAAAGCTTATTAATACAGTTAGTTAGAATAATTTAGCTGAAAATAAAATCTGCCAATGAATGTTGTTATGATTTTGTTGGGATTGCACAGATTTTGCTGATATTTCTAAATGGTTAGATGTTTGCATTGTTGATAAACCCAGTCATCATCCAGATAAGTATACCTGTGATCAAAAATGTGAAAGACTAAATATGTGTATTTGTGTTTTTCAGTATACCGCTTGTTAAGGAATCAATCTTGTTTGTTTCGTTTATCGAGAAACATAATATAAAATGCCATCAACTTCGTAGTCCTGCCAAATCTGAATTTTGAAGTGTATAGATTGTCATAGAATGTCAAGAAATGAGATATTTAGTGAGGACCTTTAGCAAGCACGATGTCCTGGTGTGCTTTACAACTTTTTAACTGCAACAGTCAGTTTGCTCACTGCAAGGTCCCACAAACCCAGGAGTTAATAATCAGATAATCTCTCCCAGCCATACCAGGAATAAATAATGATCATAAATTGAGAATTCACTGGCTCTTTTTCAAATTAGGGCCATGGGTAGAAGTAACTTTGCTTAATATCTTAAGCAGAAGGCAACTTCATCAGTGCTGCACTCCTTCAGTATTCCACTGAAAAATATTGTGACAAGTTTCTAAAGTGGCCTTTTACTCACGCAACTCAGTTGATAGATTTATTGTTGTTACGTGTACGAAGATACGGTGAAAAATGTTCTTTTACATGCTATATAGGCAGATCGTACCATGTAAATTGTATCAGGGTAGCAGAACAGAGTGCAGAATACAGTGTAACAGCCATAGAGAAGGTGCAGAGAGAGAGATCAGAATTAACATTTGAGAGGTCCGTTCAAAAGTCTGATAGCAGCAGGGAAGAAGCTATTCTTGAATCTATTTGTACATGTATTCAAACTTTTATATCTTCTGCCTCACAAAAGAGGGTGGAAGAGAGTATAACTGGGGTGGGAGAGGTCTTTAATTACGTTGGTTGCTCTCCTGAGATAGTGGGAAATATAGATGGAGTCAATAGGTAGAAGGCTGTTTTGCATGGTGGAGTGGGTTGTGTTCACGATTCTGTGGTTTCTTGCGGTCTTGGGAAGAGCAGTTGCCATACCATGCTGTGATGCGTCCAGATAGGATGCTTTCTATGGAGCATCCTATAAAAATTGGTAAGAGCCCCTGTGAACATGTAAAATTTCGTTAGCCACCTGAAGAATTGGAGACGTTGTTGTGCTTTCTGGACCATTGCGTCGATGTGGGTGATCCAGGACAGATCGGTGATCATCACTCTCAGGAACTTGACGTTGTTGATCATCTCCACCTCAGCACAACCGATGCAGACAGGAGTATGCCCTCCACTTTGCTTTCTGAAGTCAATGACAAACTCCTTCGTCTTGCTGACATTGATGGAGAGATTGCTGTCTTTATACCATACAGCTAAGCACTCAATCTCTTTCCTGTATTCTGACTCATCGTTGTTTGAGATCCGACCTATGATAGTGGTGTCATCAGCAAACTTGTAAATGGAGTTGGGTGGAATTTGGTCACACAGTTGTGAGCGTATAAGGAGTATTAGGGGGCTGAGTACACGGCCTTGTGGGCATCGGTGCTGAGGATCATGGTGGAGGAGGTGATGTCGCCTGTTCTTACTGATTGTGGTCTATAAGTCAGGAAGTCGAGGATCCGGTTACAGAGGGGGAAGTAGAGACGTAGGTCTTGAAGTTTAGAGATGAATTTGTTTGGAATTATGGTGTTCAATACAGAACTGTAGCCAATAAATAGGAGCCTGATGTAGGCATCCTTGTTATCTAGATGATTCCAGGGATGGGTGTAGTGCCAGGGAGATGATGCCTGCTGTGGACATGTTGCACCAATAGGTGAATTTCAAGGGATCAGGGCAATTTGGGAGGCTGGCAACTGAACCATTGTTGAAATAAGACCAAAACAGTAACAATTAGTTAATTGGTGTTCATATCCGGGATGAGCAGATAAGTGATCTTTATAGTGCAACGTGGAAAATATCAATTAAGAATATGGGAAAGGAACTACATGGAAAATCTTTAAATTGATTAGAAGAGTGGAGGGTCTTCAAAGTGCAGATTTGCAGATCACAACTGATGTCAGCACAGATGGCCGGCACAAAAAGTAGAAATGTATTTCTTGCTTTTGTATTTAAAATTGTGGTTGTGAAACAAAATTGATGTTTCACTTGTACAACATTTTAAGGCTGTGGTTTGAACCTTGTTTATGTCCCTAGGTGCCCTGGTAATAAAGTATCACATCAATTCATTAACATTTTGCCAGTATGGTTCCTGGGTTATTATTGGAAAGAAAGATTTTAGAAGTTAGTGGTTTTTTCAGTAGAACATGGAGTTGTCATATGGATGATGTGATATAAATCATTAAAAGACGAGATAAATGATAGATAGTTCCACTGACCGTGAAAAAGCACAAAATTAAGACATTCAATGATAAAGTAAAGCAGAACTTTGAAAATATTTTATTGCCATGCTGTTCACCTGAAATATTAAGTCCAGGCCTCATTTGGCTTTGAGTAGGGACTATGGAGCATGAGAATACAGAGTTCTTTTGGGGTGCCAACGTTCGTCACTGCCATTGTTATGTGTCTGTTAGTTTCCACGCTAGCTTGTAAAACAGCAGTGACTACTTTTCAGGGTGAAATACTGGAATATCATGATGTAAAAAACACTGCATATTCTTTGTCATTTGTTCACTAGAAAAATTTAAAAAAAAAGACTGGTAAAGGAATGAGAGGAAAGTCAGAATAGACAGATGATAGAGAAATATACCTGCACGGATTTGATGAACCAGTTAGTCTGTTTCTGGGTTGCATTTAATCCAAATGCATAAAAAAAGACTGGATTTGGCTCGAATTATTTGAAATTTAAAGAAACTGTCATAACTGTTAATCAACATGATATTGTCATGTAGCATGTTAGAATGCTATATTTATAGTTTATTGGGAATTTAGTTCACTTATTTGCTTACCCGCCAACTTTGCCCTGAAGCTTTGCTGTAAATCTAAAGTTGATGTGTAAGCCCAGCCACAGTATTACAGGCTGTATAAAAATTAATTCATAGTATCAAAGGAAATTTTTTCTTTATATTGATTCGTGGGATATGGGTATCCCTGTAAAGGCCAGCATTTACAGTAAAATCCCAATAAATCTGAATTACAGGAGGTCCACCCACAAACTTGGAGTTTGAGATAGCCAAGGAAGCCTTTATTTAATCCAATATGTCTACATGCATGCTTTATATCAAGAAAACTGGAATGAAAATGTGACGTAGTACATAAGCAAAAAAGTCTTTATTCTTCAATTTGTTGACATCTTAGAATGAATTTATACAGTAAAAGGTGTTGAAAAACATTCAATGTTAGCTCTGGGAAACCTTTGTAATAGTTTTCTGCTAAGTGCACAGTCTTCAGTCAATTGCAATAAAGTCCACTGTTCCACCAATGCAGTGAAACATCTTTTCTCTGTTTCGTGTTGCAGCGCAAAATCCTGGAGCATCTCTGCAGTGTTTGCAGCTTCCTCTAGGAAAACAGGCTGTTGAGCAAACTGGTATTCATCACAGTCTTCAAGGTCATCAAGGTGATGATCTTCCTTTTATGTATAGTACATTTTATGCATTTTTCTGATCCTTGAATCAAAAATGCTGAAGGTCATTTAAATGGTTTTGTTAGCCTCATTTTGCATGGTTAATGTCTTAACATTTGGAAAGCGATATGGCTTTTTGGTGCCATCTGTGTTGGCACAGACCACACTTTGCTTCACTTTTCAACATTACACATTCACCTTTAAACATTAAAAAACAATCTGGTAAAAGGTAGTAAAATAATCCTGTTCCAACCATTTTGCAGCCATTGCTGAAGGCTTGCCTGTGTTTTCATGCACTAGCCGGGCCTAACTCTGCTGTAATTTTTTTAATGGTCATATGCCTGTGATCAGCCTACCTGTTGTCAAGAACTTTGGCCTATCTCCGGCATCCTCATTTTGGATTTCCCATTCTGCCATTGTGATTGGCTGACAACTTTGCCACAACTGGATTTTCTACTTATCCAGAATTGGCTTATTGTGATTTTGCTGTATTATCTTTCAGAATGTGGTGGTGAGCTACCTCCTTGAACTGTTGCAGTCTATGTGGTGAATGCATTCTGACGTTGTCGTTAAAAAGGAGGTTCCAGAATATTTTCCCAACATTGACGGAACAGCCATATAATTCTGAGCCAGGATTGTACGTGACTTGGAGGTAAATATGCACCTCCCTGCTCTTGTCATTATCAGTGGTAGAGTTCATGGAAACCAAAAGAACTGCAGATGCTGTAAATCAGGAACCAAAACAGAAGTTGCTGGAAAAGCTCAGCAGGTCTGGCAGCATCTGTGAAGAAAAATCAGAGGTAACGTTTAATGTCCGGTGACCCTTCCTCTGAGGAAAACCCAAAACGTTAACTCTAATTTTCCTTCACAGATGCTGCCAGACCTGCTGAGCTTTTTCAGCAATTTCTGTTTTTGTAGAGTTCATGGGTTTGGCATGTTGCTGCAGTGCAACTTTTAAGTGATACAGATTGAGTAATGATGCACAGGTAGTGGAGAGAGTGAATGTTTTAAGTTTAATGCTGGCTTGCCTGCCAATCAAGGAGGCTGCATTGTCCTTAAAGGTGAATGCGCTTCTTGAATGTTACTGGAGCTACCTCATCTGGACTTAGAGAATAACCCATCACACTGATGACTTGTGTCTTGTAGATGTTGGACAGACTTTGGGAAGGACAGCTGGTAAGTCACATGCCACAGAATATCCAGCTTCATTTTGTAGTCACATTAAATGAATGGATGGTTGACATTAAGCTTCTGGCAGCCGTAAATCCCAGGATGATGGTGCAAGGTCAATGCCTGAAATTTGTTTGGCATAAATATTTCTAACCAGCTATCTGCACAGCCTGAATGTTGTCCAGGTATTACTATATATTGTCATGGAGTGCTTTATTATCTGAAGAACAGTGATTGAGACTGAATGGTGTACATTTGTCAATGAACATTCCACTTCCGAATTTGCGATAGAGGGAATGTCACGGAAGCAGCTGAAGATGGTTGAACCCAGGACATGGCTCTGAGGAACTCCTTCAGCCTCTAACAAGCACAACCTTCTTCTTTTGGTCTCACTCCTGTTATAGTGTAAAAAGAAATTTTGTAGGATATCATTATCAGTTAAATGCTAACCTGTCTGTATTATTGAAACTAGTATTATTGAGATCATAAGTCTCTCTAACGCTATGTAATTGTAATTGCTTTATCTTCAGGGTTTAATTTATTATTTATGTAGCTGCTACTTTATAATGTCTTACAGCATCAGGTAGTGTTTTGCTCATCTTTTTAAAAAAAAAAAGTAAACTGGCAAAATGCAAGCATGAAAGCAAATACTTTAAAAGCTAGTTTTAAATTTTCCTTGCGAACTTTTCTTAACGTACTTTGTGAGCGATTCATCCATCCTCATTTGAAACAGAAAGCAATTTTACAGTGATTGTCCTTTATCATTTTGACGTGATTTGTAAAAGATTGTCATGTCAATGAACTTGAGTACATTATGATTAGCTGATGAAAAGACTCTGTCATGAATTTGTGTTCATGGATTTCTGTTTTTATAATTACAGGTTTTTGTTGAGCTTGGACCGACATGTGAGAACCTGACCAGGACTCGATGTGAATACCACAAAACTGGACAGCTTAATGAACTGATTTTTGGAAAGCTGTATTTCCACTTGAAACTTAAATTACATTGCATTGGATTTGCTTGAGATTTGCACAGTACTTAGACTTGCCTATTGTAAATGCTGAAAATCTCATTCTTTTCCATGAAGCACTCAGGTTTAACACTAAGTTTGGTTTTCAACTGCTGTACACTTGTTAGCACATTATATAATAGTACAAATCACAGTTATGTCAGTACAGAAAGGACCATTTCTGCAGCAAATGCAGGATCACATCATCTTTCAAGCCTACCAGCACATCGTGACATAATAGTGAAAGAAGGAACCAGTGTATTAATTGACTGCAATGTGAACAGCAGCCAGTTGCGCAGTGTACTGTGGTACAACTCAAAGGGAGATCTCTTGGAGGAAACAGGAGAACTAGGTAATGTGAAGTTTAGATTCCTCAACAACAAATGATTGAGCACTATTTTTCCTGAACAATTACATAATATGTTTCGTTTAAAAATGTACAAATTGGATAATAATAAGAATTTCTATTATTTGAAAAATGATATCTTTAAATGAGTTTTGTCCTTAAAGTGTAGATGTCAGTTTTTATAATGGTAACATAATTTCAGTTGTAGATGCATAGTCAGTATTGGTGTTTACTTCAGTTTTGCAACCACTGGTGAAGCTGCACCTGTACTAATAAAGGTAGAAAATCCTTTTTTGGATAAGTTTCAAATTGGAATTGAGTTTGGGAAGATTGGCTTAAGGTCCTTTGTGAATGGAATGTGGCTGTTGTTGGCTAGGTCAATGTTTATTGCTCACTTCTAATTGCTCTGGAGAAGGTAGTCATGATGAGTTGCCTTCTTGAACTGTTCTTGTCCTAGGGGATAAGTGACAGTGATTTTAGGACGTGAGTTCAACGTTTTTGACCCAGTAACAGTGAAGGAAAAAAGACACACTTTCAAGTCAAGGTGGAGTGAAACTTGCAGGTGATGGTGTTTCCATACATCTGCTGCCCTTGTGCTTCTAGGTGGTGGAGGTTGCATGTTTGGAAGATGCTGTCAGAGGAGCCTTACTGAGTTACTGCAGTACAACTTGTACATTGCTATCATTGTGCATCAGTGGAAAAGGAAGTGAATGTCAAAGTTGGTGCATGGGTTGCTAATCTAATGGGTTGATTTGTCCTGAATGAGTTGAGGTTATTGTAGTTGGAGTTACCTCTATCTAGGCAAATGGAGAGTATTCCATCATGCTCTTTATGCGCCTTGTAAATGGTGGACAGACATTTGGGAGGCAGGGGATGAATTACTCTTTGCAGAATCCCAAGCTTCTGCCCTACTTTTGTATTCACTGGTATTTAGATGGCTCATCTAGTTCAGTTTCTGGTCAGTGGTACCCTCAGAATTTTAATAGTGAGGGATTCAGTGATAATAATGTCATTGAACGTCTAAGGGCAATGGATTCCTACTCTCTTGTTGAAATGGACTTTTCCTGGCATTTGTATGGTGCAAATGTTCTGGATTGGCAGAATAAACTATATCTTAACAGTGTCATTTTCTGCCACTGAAGGGTGAAAGAATATTTTCATAATTTCATATTTTGCAGAGAGCATCAAGTGACAAAATTTAATTGTGGGCAAGTTATTGCATAATATTATAGTGTTACATTAGTGGATGATCCTTTGGGAAATATTTGAGCATTTTCAGATGCGTCACCTCATGAATGCAGTACAAAATGTGCAGAGGAGAATGAAAGACAGAATATGAGGGCAAAAAGAAAGTATGAGCATAGACTAACAACAGTTAGATTCCATGTCTGTTGAGATTAAGTTGGTAACGCGTTCATCTCTGTGTCAAGCTTGTGGGTTCCAGTTTAGGACTTGACTATAAAAGGTGACAGTCCAGTGCAGTACTGAGAGAGGTGTACACCTCCAGAAGTCTCACCTTTTCAGATAAAAGGCTAGAGTGCAATTTCAGGTGTTTGTTGGAGCTTGCTATGTTCAATATATATCCTACATTACAGCAGTGACTATGCTTCACAGTGCTTTATTGCTGTACAATACTTTGGGATTTCTAGTTGTGAAAAGTTCCGTATAAATACATGTTTCATTTTAATGGGTAACGTAAAAGGGAATCCAAATATTGTCTATAAGCAGTAAATGGATAATTGAAGAAAATGTGAAGCTGATGATGAGGAAAAAGAAGAGACATTGTTCATTGTGGTACAATCATCTGCACTATCTTGAGCAAATCCGTAGTTAAATGTTTTGACAAATAGAATTCCAAAACCACTGCCTCCATAAGAGCCAGTGTTTCAATAGCCGAAATACATTAGCCTCCTTATAATTTTCTTAGTTTCCTAAGCTAAAAGATAAATTTCTCATTCTTACTCAAGAAACATAATGAATCCAACTTCAGTTGAAGATCAGACAGGAAGATTAGTTTGTGAAGAATTGATTTTTAAAAACAAAAACTCCTAACAGTCCAAAACCTGCATCTGGTGTAGCCCGAGTATCCAGATACTTGATTGACTGACCAGGCTTTGTGGTTGCTTTGTACCTTCTTCTGTTCTACTGTCATTTTCCAATGATGATCTAGTACCTTACCAGCACTTTTCCACTCCTTATGATCCTTTTTCTTAAATACATAATGCATTTTCGTGAATTTTGCAAGAGCTCAGCCTGTCTCCCTGCAAGTAAAGCATTTAAAGTGCTTGAAATTGAATTGATTCTAAAGCAGGAGGATTATCACACATAACAGAAAGCAATTCATTGGCCATAGACTAATTGACTGGGATTATAACCTCCAACCATGTAGAATAAATTCTTTGCGTGAACCACCCATTCTTCGGTGGTTGTCACCTTGCAGTCTGGTTGATCAGTGAAAACGTTTTATTTCATTGATAAATGCAGACATCTTTCACAGAGTACTTGCTGAAAGGACTTTCAGCTATGTTATTCATAACCATGATGTTTTTGTTTGCTTCATGTTTCTGAACCGCTCATTGGCAAACTCTCCTCCATTATCAGTCAGAAACATTGCTGGTATCCCAAGTGCAGTCTCTATATATTTTTCTGTGAATTTGTCAATAATCACTTTCTTTTACCCGTAATAAATATTGTCGAAAAATTAAATCTTGTTGCTTGGTCTGTAAAATGTGGAATGAAATTATTTCTGTCATTGTCCCAATCCTTCGATAAATGTATCCCTACAAATTCTGATTTCCTTCTCTTTATTATACAGATGGAAAATGGCTTATTTTAGACAGTGGAGAGCTAAACATCACGAGAATTACATTTGCTGATCGAGGTCGTTACACATGCGTCTCAACAAACTCTCATGGAACCTTAAATTATACAGTCACCCTGCGTGTTGTCTTCACCACTGGTGACATGGGTGTTTATTATATGATCGTTTGCCTCATTGCTTTCACAATTGTTATGATATTGAACATCACTCGCCTCTGCATGATGAGCAGTCATCTGAGGAAAACTGAAAAAGCAATCAATGATTTCTTTAAGATGGAAGGAGCAGAAAAATTGCAAAAGGCATTTGAAATTGCAAAGCGCATTCCTATCATTACATCTGCAAAGACGCTTGAACTGGCCAAAGTAACTCAGTTCAAGACCATGGAGTTTGCCAGGTACATTGAAGAACTTGCTCGAAGTGTTCCTCTACCACCTCTTATCTTGAACTGTAGAGCATTTGTAGAGGATATTATTGAAGCTGTATGGATGGAAGATGCAGAACAGGCCACAAATGAAGAAAATAAAGATGGACAGGCAGTTAGGGGCACTGAGGATATTTACACTATTGATACTGAAATACAACGCAGCAGTTCACCTGCAGGTGAATCAGATGACTCATATGTACATGAGGAATGCCAAGAGATTGCAGTTCAGGTTTCAGTACATTCTCAATCTGAAAAACAGAGCATTGACACACTATCTCAAGGAAGCAGTCAACTTGAAAATAGTGAAGAGAATTTACCCAAGATACAAAAAAGCAAAACAGATGGTGTAGTGTATGAAAGCCATATATAGATTGTGTAAGGTATCTTTCTTATCGATTTTGATTATGAGGGAAATGTTCAGTGTGCAGAGGCAAACCTAAAACTGGTTTGCTGACACGTTAGGTTATAAATGGACCAGAAGGCAATTATATTCAACCCACAGCAGAATTGTATGTAATGTCACCGTGATGTTACTTTTAATAGAAATATGTGTGTAATTTGTCAGTTGTAGACTGCTGCTGAAGAGGTTAATAGCTGTTTGTATCTCGAAGATGCAAGGTATGAGTAAACCTTTTTATCATCATAAGTAGTTGTTGTTTGAGAATCGTGCTCTTATTTAATGGATGTAAAGATAATTTGACTGCATTTATGAAAATGAAAGGATTGTTGTGTAGTGGTAAGTCACCAATACATTGCAATCTCATTGAAATTAACATATCTGGTGCATATATTATTGATAAGCATCATAATAAACTTGAAGTTTTAATCGTAAGGGAAGTACCTAAAATCTCATGATTTTCCAGCCACTTTTGAAATCCTCTGAGATTCAGATCAGCCTTGAGGACAGGCCCTGCCCAGTGTAGTTTAAACCAAGTATTTATGCTTTGATTCATTATTTCCCTAGCAATCCCAACCCACCAAATCATACACTGCAGACTTGAAAAAAGTAATGTAAGCCCATGATTGTCCAGAAGATCCACATGGTAAGGTTTACCCTTCCCGGTTACAGTTGCACACTATTGTTTTTGAAATACCAAAAAAGATTAGCAGCACTGTTTCTTTTCAGTCTTCAAAAGTATATTTTAACATGCATTTCACAATGTCTGTTTTGCTACAGTGAGGTGTGGAAGGATTTTTGCCTGAATTTATTGTATGTTCAAGTGCATGGTTCTCTTCTGATGTGTCCTTAAGCAATTGGTATATTGAATTAATTATTTTCTACATAATGCATGCAACTGTTTCTACACACTTTATTCCTCTTGCTCACATTAGTCTGCCAATCCAAACACTTTAGTCCAGCAGCTCCTGAATCAAATCTTTGATGAAATAATAAGTCTTACTTTACCAATTATATGCTTTCTCAATTATACTTCGGAGTGATTTGTTACAAAGTTGTAGCAATCTTGTACAAATGCAGTGGTGCTTTAAATTGAATACTCAGTAAACTGCATAAGTAGACTGACTCAATACCTCATCCATTTTCACTTTACCTTTTTGACAGGTAAACATTATTATTTTTATTTCTTCAGTCAGTTTAGTTGTATTTCATATTCTTCCATATACATAAATGATGTTTAAATTCATAGAAGCACAGAATAATTCAACAACCAGCAGCAGTCTTCAAGACTGCTCACAGCATTTCACATTTTATGTTCTTTTAATCTTTAAATGATGGCTAATATAACTTAAATTTCATGGATCTATTTTTCCATCTTAAGCAGTTTGGAAATGTTAGTCATGTGTACACTTTTGTAGCTAAAACAAATATTCTTTAAAGTTGCAATTTCAACTGTCATTCTGTGGTACAGCTTTCTATGAAGTAAAAGTTGTTCATAACTGATGCTGAAATTGTTTTACAGTTTGTTATATTAAATAATTTGTTCCATATACATTCCATTTTGCCAATGTGGATTTATCTAGTTAGTTAAACACATCAGCTATCAAAGGTGAAGCATCTAATGGAGTTTATATGTCAATTTGTGCAAAAATGTATTTATTTTCATACTTTACTGGCGTGTAACCCCATTTACATATGGTCTATTCAGTTACTCTTTGCTACATTTGTAATAATTTTGACTTTATTTAGCACATGCAACAATGAATATAATAAAGTTTTAAACTAGTAGTTTACAAAATAAAATTGAAAATTATGTTAGAGGGTTTGTTAAATAGCAGAGTCAGCTGGACGGCTGGTTTGCAATTTAGAGTGGTGTCAACATCGTGGTTTCAATTCCCACACCAGCTGAGGTTACCATGAAGGATCCTTCTTCTGAATCCTCTCTTCTCACTGAGGCATGATGACCCCTAACATTAACCACTGGCCCCCTCTAATGAAAGACCAGCCTATAGGTCTATGGTGATTCTTCCTTTTACTCATTGCCCTTTGGGTAGAAAATATGACTTTGTTCCACTGATCCTCTGCTATTTTGTGCTTGTTCAGTCTTCTACCTGGAATTAATTGAGAGTTGCCAATCATTCCCTTGAGATTCTTGCACAGCTGTTGCCACACTATACCCATTACTGCTATTACAATTTAACAGATTTCTCCTTTCCCTTTTCCCTTGGGCCACGATAATCAAGTGTAGCTCTTGATGCAAGTCTGCACACTTGGTTATGACAGGTCAGTACATGAATATGTCAGTGGCGTACGTAATGTATCATTATTAACAGTTGTATATACCACAAGGTCTGTTTTCTGACCCATAATACTTGCGCAACAGACTACACTGTAGATATGAAACAATTGTTCTTCCCCTAATTTTGGAAGGTACAGAGGCCCAGTCAGATTTGTCTGTTTGAGTAAATATATCCTGTAAAATTTCAGACTAATAACAATTCCAATAATTATACCTGAGATGTCCTTACCATAACATTTTTTTGCTTCGTAATGCTAATAAAGCAATTATAAGTCAATAGCTTGACATAATTTTCCAATACATTCTATAGGAATTTAACATTAAAAATAATAAAAAGGGAGTTATTATTCCTCTGAATTGTTTATGATCATTGCTAGGGGGAGTGAAAGACAAGTATGTTCCTTCCAAATGCGAAAAACAGTGGGTGTAGGAAATCTGAAACAAAAGCAGAAAATGCCAGAAATACCCAACATGCAAGGAAACACCAGTGAAGAGAGAAATAGAATTAACATTTCAGGTTGATCGCCTTCTAACTGAAGACACTTAGAAACATAATCAAGCAAGTGAAGGGAGAAAGAACAAAAAGCAAGGTCTGAGATATTGTGCGAGAGATTAAATGACAAAAAAAAATGGTGGTGCAAGTTGAAAGGGTGTGATAATGGGCGATGTAAATAAACAAAAGATGTCAATGATGTGACCATCCAAAAGCAAAATTTGGGAGAAAAAAAAATAAAAACAAAGCCTGCAATGTAGAAGGAAATAAAATGGAGTAGAATTTAAAGTCTGAAGGTTTTGAACCTAAATGTTCAGCCCACATGGTTGTAAAGTGCCTAAATAAAGATGAGTAAAAATTAGATTCTTGTGTGACTTGACAGAATACGTGTGGAGAGTTTTGTTTCCCTTTGTGGGAGGGTCCAGAACCAGAGGGCATAATTTCAGAACAAGGGGTCGTATTTAAGATTGAGGTGAAGAGGAATTTCTTCTCGGTAGTGAATCTGCGAGACTCTTTTTCACCAAGGGCTGTCGAGGATGGGTGGTTATATATATTCAAGGTCGACATAGATTTTTAATCAGTAAACGAATGAAGGGGTAAAAGGAAAAGCCGGGAAATTGGAGATAAGGATAATCAAATCAGCCATGATCTCATTAAATGGCAGAGCAGACTCAATGGGCTGAATGGCCTACTTCTGCTTCTCTGTCTCATGGTCTTATGAACTCTTAATCTTGAGCATACTTTGAGTTTTATTGAAATACTACTGTGGACTGAAGATGGGTCAATACTTCAGCAAAGTGAAGAATTGAAATGACAGATGACCAGAAACTTGGAGTCACCCTTGCACATTGAATGGAGGTTTTGCACAGAGGAGTCACCCAATCTTCATGTTTCCCCAGCATAGACTTGGCTGCATTTTGAGCAAAAAAAATCATGTTTTGTTTTGAAGAGAACTTCCCACATCATTATAACTTGGCATTAGTTGCTTTTCTTCTTTAATGGTTCTATCAGTGTTCTAGGATATCATTGCAGCAGCATCTTCAACTCATGGATAGTAGTGCTTTTTGAAAAGCCCACCACCATCACGTCACAGCAACTAATGATGCAGTTAAACCATTGGCTGCATCCTCATCTTGTTTTTCAACAAAGTGAAATGCGCCAACAGAAATATAATTCGTTTTATTATTCAGATGGTGCACATATATTGAATAAATACAAGTTTAGAACATTGAATCCTTAATGACTAACTTGCTTTGACCATGTGCAGTACTCTTGTTCTCAATACGTTTGGTTCCGTATTAAATTTATAATATTGGACAATGAATAATTGATTGGACAGCACTTAACCACAAAAGACGGCCTTCAGGTCTTTTTGTTTTACAGTCCAGTTTCTTTGTATTGTTAATGATCAATTCCAAATCTACTGTTGTAAAAGTGAGCTAATGATAGAGAGACTGTCTTAGACCATAAAACTCTAGAAATAGGAAAAGGAGAAGGCCTTTTGCAAGAATGAACATTAAAATTATGTCTTCAAGCATTATATAGTTTTCACCTTGTATCAGGTAAGCAAAGCTATGCAGACATGAGCTTAAAATTCTCACCTTTTATTTGTCATTTCTTTATCATTTTCCATACCTAATCCTGGAAGACAAGATTCAGAGCTGTCCTATGCATATACTGAACCATAAGTGTGCC